GGGGGGGGGAAGGTTGTATTCGGGTTGTCTGTTCGATCGCGATTCAATAATATAAACTTTTAATGACCTCATTGTCACTGTCGTTCACGTCGTCATTCTCGTCTTAATCGTTATCATATTATCATTATCGTCATTCATCGTGGTCATTGAATGCGACATCGCTGAACTAGTATTATTACGTAATGATTTATAACGCGCGGTATTATTGTCCCTACTGTTAAATACGATTTATGCCGATACGAATAATGAGTTATCGTGTTACTCCTAGTAGACCTTATTGTTTCCTATTGATTAACGTCACTTCTATTAATCGTCCGCCGTTACGCGTATTAATGATTAATTAATTATTGATAACGAGTATTAACGTTAATTATTATGATTGTGTTTTAGGGGGGGGGGGGCGTCACTCCGTATCCTCTGCCTCTTGATTGTATAAAGAAGTCCTCGTGTACGTTATTTTTATTCTTTATTATTATTTTATTATTATTATTATTACTACTACTATTACTATTATACTGATACTACTACTACTATTATTATTATAAATTGTTCGGTAATTTTACGTAGTTTTATTAGTTGATAATTAATTATTATTAGTTATTACGTTTCTCGTATATCTCTTTCGCGTCGCATTTTATTCTGACTTTGAATCCGGGGGACAACGTAATTTTTTACCAAGTCGCCATCTTAAGTTCCTACTGCATGAGGATGAGATATCACGAACATCCGGTACAATGGTAGCGTGAAAAATTTCGCGAAAGGCAGGAGAAACCGACCGACGAACAAATTAATTGATTAAACGTTAAATACGGTGGGAGAAGGTTGAGGACGAGTGTCGAGGATGAGGATGGAGGGGAGATGTAATGAATAAGGAAAAAAAAAATTATGGAGAATGTAACAGCATGTATAAAAAAGTTGTGCAGCCCCGCGGCTGTCGACGGGTCGATTTTCTTCTCGCGCATTGTAAATAGAAAATGGAAAGGCAATCGGTTATTTATGCGTAATATATATATATATATGCACACCTGATAAATATATATATATTATATATATATATATTTAAAGATGTATTAAAGAAGTATAGCGAAATACTTAAGAAATTAGTATCGAATGTCGCGGCATCGGATACAACCTTTGAACCGACGTGTAAAAATTCAAACTGTTCGTATGACGAGGGAATTTCGTTTCACTCTTGTATCCGTAGATGGCGGCACGAGCGGCCAACGTACCTTTTCAAATTTAACCGACGCGACGAAAACGCTCGAGCGACCGACTGACGGACTTACAGATCCACGGTACGATTGACGGACTGAAAAGAAAAGTCGAAATTTCGCGAAGAGGGGCTGGTACGTGTTGAACGATAAAACGAAAACGGGTAGTAGGGGATTGGGGAACGTTTGGGTGGGCGGGGAGGGGAGATAATTCAAAGAAATAATCGCGACGTGGAACTTCGATCGAATTCATCACATAAACGATGCGCAAAGTATTGTAAGCGTATGAACATTAACAATGACACAATAACAAGAACAAGAACAACAGTAAGAAGCAGAACTCGTGTGTAAAATAGTTACTTGCATCGGTTGTGCCGTCACGTAGTTCCTAAGTCGCCCTAGCCTCGAAAAAAAAAGCGCGCAGACAATTTACGGGCCGCGAACTCGCCACGACCCGTGGGACAAAATGGGGCCTTATGGGTATATTAGGATAGGGAGGGGC